GAAACTCACAATGTGCTCTCTGTATACATGTTGTATTGGATGTACAATGCAGCTTGGTGCTGGGGGGTAGCAGCGTGAGTCCAAGCGTGATGTAGAGAGAGAGCTGGTTGGTGAGGGTGCTCAGAGGAGGACCAGCTTGTGGGTCGCCATGCTCGCCGGCGGGAGCGAGGGCCGCCAAGCAGTAGTGGAGGTGGTGGTGTTACTTGAAGACTGGCTGTAGGTAGAAAGAGACAGGTCACCACGAGGTCAGGTCTTATATAGCGGAGGTAGGCGTGGCTTAATAGTTGACCTCCGTCATGTAAGGAGGCGCTGGTTGACCTAGACTACGAGGCATACACTGGGGAATTCGCGGGGTCGGCTACTCAGCGACAAGTGTTTGTAGGGGAGGAATCCACTACAGGGTCACAGCTCAAGGTTGAAGAAGCAGCAAGTCCAGAAAACTGCGGGGTAAATTTTTCGGAGTGAGAGTTGTGAACTCTTGGAAAATTCTGTGACGGCACCGAGTGCGAGCTCTTTCAAGACCAGACTTGACAAGCACTGGAGCGGGTTCAGATACACTCAGGAGCCAGTGCATGCCCAGTACTTGCCAACAGTGTATAACAGAGAAAGTTATAGAGTTAAGGATAATTTTCTAGTTCTTGTAGTAACAAGTGTGATTGATGATTCCAAGAGTTTGGTTGGGTTTTGTCGCAGTTGCTCCCAGCTGTTGCATTACTTGCAGAGATTGTCAACTACGACGTTTGGGATCTTCACCTTATCTACAGCTCAGCTACCAGGAAAGTGTTGATTGATGGGCCTCACATATAATAGCAGTTGTCAGTTAGTCGACCATTTGAAAAAAATCGTACAATCCTTTTGATGAATGTAATGTCCTCTTGTCCTGCAACCTTCCCGAAAGCCTTAATGTCTTCCACTAATATGATTATGTGGTGAGAGACCGAGAGGTATTTTTGCCACTATCAGTGACGTGGATGAGAAACAAGGTGGATCAGGGAGAACAGTTCATAGTCGTAGTTGGATTCCATAACAAAGTTCTGCCACACATGAAGAGGTGCATAAAGTCCAGTAGAGACAGACACCCGACTGTCCATGCCTTAGCTTAGAGTATGGTCATCAGGCTCATTTGTTAGAGTATTATGCTTGCATCACGGTGCACTTCGTTTAAATCAGCAACTTCATGTAAGTATGTATGTATGGACAGGTGTTAAGGGCAGATAAAGATGTGTCCCAGCACACCTTAGTACTCGCAGGTGTGTGTAACAGTACCCACGCTGCAAGTAGTCATTTGATGCAACTTGGCCAGTGCTTTACCTGTCGTAGGGAACATACAAGTTATATGTGTATCCTAAGACAGAAGAACTATGTTAACTTGTCGAAGATGGATAATAATGTGAAGCTAACAGACGGTACACAGACGTACAACAAAAGCTTTCTGTGGTGATAATTACTCGGATAATGACAACATCTATACTGTACTGCGGTATACAGTAAAAGTCATAGTTACAGAACAATACATTGGTGGCAGAGGCTGGTGTACCTGTGGGTGTTGATCATGGTTGGCAGAGGCTGGTGTACCTGTGGGTGTTGGTCATGGTTGGCAGAGGCTGGTGTACCTGTGGGTGTTGGTCATGGTTGGCAGAGTGAGGATCTTGGCGGGAGAGTTACAGCATGACAGGCAGCTCTAGTATTGTGTTGGAACTTCTTGCTTGTGTCTGTGTGGGTATAACAATTGGTTATATTTAATGGATAATATATTAAGGAATAAACCGCGTATCCCAATGTGTCCTTTGGCATAATGTAGTACTTCCTAGAGTTTGTTACTCCACAGCAGCTAACCTCCTCCCCCCACACGCACACACTAGGCCGTTGTTACGACGTATCATTACTTCCACCGGGCAGTGCCACAAGACCCTGGCACCACCTGGCATATCAGTAGTGGCACCATTGTTTGACTGTTGTTATGTAAACAACTCCAACGTAAACATTCGTGTGGGGTGTACTGTACTTATCCCGATCATCCAAGACTTGAGGTAAACAGAAACAATTAAGACTTTAAACGTCTCTGTTGCACACTGTTGGCAAGTATTGGCCAGGTACTGGCTCCTGAATGTAAAGGTATCTGTACCTGCGCCAGTGGTGGTTAAGCCTGGTCTTAAATGAGCTCACACTCGGTGCCATCACAACGCTCTCTGGCGGATTGTTCCAAAAGTTTTCAAATTTTTGCAATTTAATAAGAAATTTCGACAACATTAATTTAATATCGCTTTTCGTGGTGAGAGATTTGACTACAAGATACGAAACATTACGTCTGTCTTTGAACTAACAGTTGAATAAAACCTGTTTAGGAAATATTCTATTAATTATTATTATTCTGAGTTGGTAATAAGTTTTTAATATTTGAATACAAATACGGAAAAAAGTGTGATATTATACTGTAGTTTATGTAATTTGTGTATTTTATGTAATTTTAATTTTCGTGGTGAGGATTATGTGAATATGTGGTAAAGGATTATCTTGTCGCTGGTGAAACACTGCTGCCTCACAATACGTGACCAAGCCCTCCTTTGTTCAATTTCAATTGTTTATTCCTTGATAGAGGAAGCGGGATCCTAGTGCTGTCACTAGGTACCCCTGTACAATGACACCAGAAGCATCTGGCAAGTGTGACAAGTATATACAGTATAAATATTATAAAGGGGCTTACAAAAGCCTAAGGAAGGAAGGATATTCCTTTAACACATAATCAATATTATTTACAAAATATCTGGCCAGTATGGGGAGGATCATCGTGTCTCCGTCAGGGGGTCGTGGAGTGGTGGTCCAGCAGGCGTCACGGAAGCGTTGTGTGTGGGGACATCTTAGGAGGTAGTGGAAAAGGGTGCTGCTGTCGGGTCTTCTGCATAATGCACATGAGCGTTGCTCAGGGGATCTCCATTGTTCTATTGTTAAATGTAAGCTTACTTGGCCTGGTACCAGTATGTAAATAGCTCCAATTGTTACCACCACCTTACGTCACCAAGTTGGACAGTGACATGTGATATTGGTCAAATTTTCTGGTCCTCGTTGAGCTATTTGTTGATTTTTACGAATTGTAGAGTTTTCGTTCACCTATTTGCCCACAATTATCATAAATCTGGTGTTTTGTGGCTGAAAACTACCACGTCTGTTTAGTAAGATAATTTCGTAAAACAACCTACAGTATATCCTGGGAATCGTGCAACGATTTTCAGTTAATATAACATTTACGGTTTTCTTTTGTAGTGTTTCATTGTAGGTATCACGCAAGATAAAACTATTTGAAATAAAAATATAACCTAACTCTTGTAGCCTACATTCTTTATATTTATGTCATTCTAGCTGTAGTTAAACACACACACACATTTCGTGAGTCAGTTGTCGTTATCATCCGTAACATGTTCCACCTACTAATATCTAGGACATGATTGACCTTGTCTTGTAGGACAGTGGATATGAACCTTTTTCGGTCGTCGTACCCCATGGTCTCAGTGAGAGACGTCTCGTGCCCCCTCTCAGTAGGAGGGCGCCTGGTCGTCCTCTACAAGAATTTTGTCGGAAAATTTAATGTTTGGGTGATACTGCAAGTAATGGTCCAGTTAATCATCTCTGTGAAGCAGATGGTATCAAAATCTTCGGGTCGGTGTGTCGGTGTGGCTGAGTTTGTCCGTATGTCTGTCGTCTGTAGGACCTTGGCGTTTTCTTCTGCTCCTGATGAGATCGTTCAGCTGTTTGAAGGGAGTCAAAAACTACTTACGAAACACAATGAATGAAAAGCCACTGTCCAACTTGGTCTGTATCTCAGTTAATCGTGTTGTCACAGACCTGTCTGTAAGGGATCTTGAACAACCTTTTTCTGAAGGAGAATACAAGGAACATTTTTCAATACTGGAGGATCGTAGAAGAAATACATTATAAAGAGTGAACTCCTACTGATAAGTTCTTTTGTTTCTTACTACAGTAATTATTTTCCAAAATTTGAATAACACTTTTGTATTTCATATTCCATTTGTGTTTGTATTGACAAGAAGAGTTCCAATTAATTCATGCGTGTTTTCAATTATGGTTGTCGTGCCCATGTAATTTTTCTTTCTCATTCCGATTTACTTGGCATTATAATATAAAATTTTCAATTTTTTTCTAGTTCATTGTAGCACATAATGTAATGTGTGTTTTGTTCAGTCTACAAGGTTAAGAACACAGTGTTGTGTAAGTGCAGGTGTTGCAGTGACTTTACTAGAGGGGGGGGGGGTGTAGGCACATTTGTATCCAAACGAGCTTTTGTGTACTCACAAAATATAGCGTTATTTATCTCGTAAATAACGCTAATCATTAATTCGTGTACCAAACGTGAACGTTGTGTGTCTGCACTGTGGGTAAATTGGCCTTTAAGAGGTATACATAATGTCCACAGTGCGCGTTTGCGCACTTTTCAAGATTTTAGCCAAATTTTCTCTTTTTTTGTGTGTGTACCCACAAGCAGAATTATTTGAGGGCATCACACCACCATTACCCCCTCTTCGCGACTTCATCGAGGTGTTGAGGCGCAGTACAGGAAAGACGGCACTGAAAACCTCCAACAAGATTATTATAATCAAGGGTTTACTGAGCGTTCAGGGGGGGACTTGACAACTTATTAATATATACAATTCGATTACCAGTGTGGAAGGCGAACGATAGCACCTAGTTTTTTAAGTTGTGTAACATAGTGGTAATGTTTGTTGGTCGGGCCCGTGTGGTGGAGAACTTGGTACTGTATACCGTACAACACTTTATGATTGGCGATTGGTAATTATTATTTTAATTAAATGTTTTTAATTTATTGGACCTGGTGTGGGAGTTAAATTGTCGTGAGTACCACACATACAACACAACACAATGAACACAACACACACACAACACCTGTTATCTGTGGTGGTGGCGGATTATCTCTAGGGGCGTGAAGGGGCGGAGAGCTCCACCAATAACCGCTCAGTTATCGCGTGACAGCTGATTGTATCGGAGGTAGCGAGGGGCAGCAGTTAGTGTGAGCGAGGGAGTGAACACTACCTGTGACCCCCCTAGAGTTCCATAGTGTCATTCGGGACCTGCTAGAGTTCCTTAGTGTTACGACGACACCAGACAGTGATCACCAAAATGAAGGTAGGTGTACTGACTAACATTTCATACCCACACTGTATGCTTACACAGACTATGTAAATACAGTAAAAAAAAGTATCTTACGGATGGGTAAGATGAATTACAAAATATACACTGTCAGGGGCGGATCCTGGATTTTATAACGGGGGGGTGTGAGTTTGATATTGGGGGGGTTGACGAAACCGAGCCCCTGTAGGTCTGGGGCATCCTCCGGGGAAATTTTTGAATTTTAGATGTCAAATGGTGCATTTTAAAGCATGGTTAGGCTGAAAATGGACAAATGGAATCCTTTTTACCGTGATTTTATTAATTGTGGACCTTATAAGTCCTATAGACAAAAAAATATAAAAAATGTCTGGTTCACCTCCATCTGTTTAAACTGAGAGTGAGTTCAAGAACAACATTCTTGCATGTTTTCTTGAATACTTATCAATGATACTGTTACGAGTTGGGGATTTAGAATATAGTTAAAAATCTACCCAGATCCCAACAGGCAACAACAACAAAAAAACAAAGACAATCGGACTATAAAAGGGTAGACACAGGATGCGAGTTTTTGTTGTGTATAATAAAGTACCATGAATTCCTTAACAAAATATTCAGCTATCTATAATTTACCCTTAACCATACTTAACCTAAACATTAACAGTATATACATATTTATACAACATACAATAATTTGAAGCAAGTGGACGTGGGGGAGGCAATATAAGATTACAAATACTTAAGTGCGGAGCTGAGATGGCTGACGAGCAAGGCTGAGTATTGTAGAAGACGGTAGGTAGTCACTGTGCCTTAGGTTTCCAGGATAGGTGATCCTGTGGTCACTTCCCAGAGTGAAGTGAACTCTCCTCGAACTCGAGCTGACAAAGAAGACTTGGAGGAGGTGACGCAACAACCAGGATATGGAGAAGGGAAACCCCGGAGTGGTAACTAAGACTAGTCATACTCGTGTTTCGTCCCTAGATGGCGTGGTTCGTAGTGCTGGGTAGGTAGATCATGACAATTGGTGGCGGGGTTCGTAACAATACGTTTATAGTTGAGTTTGAACTTTTACTTTTACTTTTACTTTATCCTCTTCACCACTGATCGGCTCGTTAGCTGCTTGAGCGATCGGTCACGTCTCTGATTACGTTGCCTTGCTGCTTTGTGGACCTCGTGATGGTTTTCACTAGTTTCCTTGCTGAGTTACTATGTTCAACTCCAGCACTGATCACCGGGATGATAAACAGCATGTAAAGGATCCTGTGGATGTTAGGTTACATCAACTGAGGAGTTGACGCAATAATGTCCTGCAAATTGTTAGGTTTGGAGTATGTACATCCCCATTTCCCTTTCCAGGTGAGAACTTCAGCATGTAGAGATAGTGGGGATGGAAGATTTTCATCAAAGTGCTCTTTTAAGTCAGTCACCTCTTCATCAGAGAGGTTGTCGGTATCTCCAGGGAACAAGTTTGACCCAATGAGTGCTTTAGCACTTATTGGCTTGAAGCGTGACTCCAGTTGTTAGAGCAGGCCATCTAAGAATGGCATGACTAGTACACGTCTGTAGTAGACCTCTGGTGTGTCTCCTGGTACAGTACATTGTTCCTCCTTGTCTGCTGCCCACTATGTCTGGGTATAGCCACCGTTGTCTCGGCCACTCCAGCCATCTGTTCAGTGGTCTTGAAGATCTTAGAGTACTCAGGTGTTGCCTTTTCTCTCAGGCCACTGAGTATGTCCTTTACTGCATCAACTTCTCCGTGAGCTCTGACCACATCATCATTTGAACCCTTCAGAAGCTGACTCAGGCCCCTGGTGTAGGCTAAGACTTCGCAATTCACTTGGAATGCTGCAATGAATTGTAAGCTTGTGATTGAACAGAGTAGGCCGTTGGCCTCACTTATGTGCCTGTACAATGGACATCATATCTGTCATATCTGGGAGCATACATGCTTTGCTCAGGGCCATTTTTTTTTCTTACGGGGATTAGCCCACCCGGTACAGGTCACTGACCGACATCAGGGCCTGGGGGGCGAAAATGTAATAATAATAATAATAATAATAATAATAATAATACTTAGTTCATAGTAAATAAAATGTATAAAAAGAAAAAAAGAAATAATAATAACAATAATAATAATAATAATAATAATAATAATAATAATAATAATAATAATAAAGAACCATAAAGAAATACACAAATTTAAAAAAGATCAAGAGTGAGAAACGATATATCTATGTTTTGTTCTCAAAGTAAGAGAAACAATTGAGACCTGCAATTGGGTGTAAATGAGGCAGAAAGTCAGATCAGCAACCTGGGACTTGGTCACAATTTTTGTGATGCCATATGGCAGCAGGGTCTACCATTAGACAACACATTATGCTTTCATTATCTTCCCAGGCGGTAGCACCTCCCTGTTTGGTAGCTGCTTATTACTTACTACCTACTAGCATAATGATAGTAGTTGGCCTTAGAAACCACTTTCTGAAAATTTGCTGAACACCCATTAGTTTTCTCAGCCATGTTCCTTGCACCATCATATTACTTTTCCTGTATTCTCCTCCTAAGGAACAACTCCACCAGTCTCTCAATTGGTTCTTTTTCTTTTAAGTACCTGATCACGATGTCCAACTGTTCCACGTTAATAATATCTCTGACTTCATTAACCTGCATTCCAAAAAATGCTACCCTGTGATCAGTTGATTGCATCATGATTTTTCTCGCCATTTCTTCCGGCATGTCTTCTTTGACACAGATAAGTTCATTCTATGCTGTTTTTTTTAATGCATTGTTGTCTCGGTAGAATTGTCAAAATCCTTCGTCCTTTGCATCATATTGTCTTATATAAAATTGTAAAGCTACAAATAAACCTTGGTGATTTAGCAATGTACACACACACGCGCGCACACACACACACACACACAGTCACCAAATTGATCAAACTGCTTCTCATATTTTGGTTTTAGAGATCAATGAATCATTGAAAGTATCGTCCTCATATCTGAGAGTTGGCGACCACAATCCTCCACTCTAAACGTTCTCGGGCTGTTTTTACCAATCTTCCAAGATTTTGTATCTCTCTGGGGATCCAGTTTTTAATTCCATTCACCCATCCCAGTCTCTGCCTTTCCCTGGCCCTCCTACCCTCAACTATTCCCATTAATATTCCTGTTATTATCCCTATTTATATGACCTAAGTACCTCATATTTGTCTTTCTGTAAATTTCAAGTATTTCTCATAAAATAACTTTATGTGAGTCAGTACTTTATTTTTAGTTTGAAATTACCTTCTCCTGACGTTGGTTCCTTTCGTCTAGTGCCACTGTCTAGTGTTGTGGGCAGCGGTGTTGACATGGGCCACTATGGTGGGCGGCAGCACCTCGCCAGGGGAAGGATACAACCTCAGGATGACGCAGGAGGAACGGGAGAAGGTGCTGGACAGGATGCACGCCGAGATGGTGGGGGTTGAACCTCCGTGTGTCCCTCCCCATAACACTCCTATTAATCCAGGTGGGTAGGTCAGTGTTGAAGATTGGTTCAGGTAAGATTAGGTTAGGGTGGGTGAAGTGAGATTAGATTAAGTTGTGTTCGATTGGGTGTGGTGGGGGTAGGTTGGGTTGGGTGAAGTTAGGTATTATGATCCATCAAAACTTTCACAGGTGTTTGAAGAGTCATTAAGCAGAGAAAAGAACGTCACTTATTGAAAAGGGTTGACAGGAGAATGAAATAACATTGGCAAACTTATTGTATCTTGATAGGGTGTCGTTGTAAGGGGCTGCCTGTATAATAGGATGTCATATTTGGTGAGGGATCAGTGTTAGTTTGTATTGTATATTACTCTCTACTCTTGTGTCAAATTACTTAGTTTACGGCTGTTTTAAGTTAAGTACTGTAATGGCTGTCTTAAGTTATACTGTGTGATTTTTTTTGTTAATGTTTGTATTGTACTTATACAGTATACAGAGTGTGTAGTTAAATAGGGAAGCGCTCAAAAATATATGTAACTGTGTATGGTATTTGTTTGTACTGTACTGTAATTGTATTTGTGAGATGTCTGAAAAATCTGCCTGAAGTCATTATATTAAACCCCATTCATTTTCTATGCCAGTCATGCCGATGATGCCAAACGCGTTCTCCACCAGGGTAGAGGTCGCTTTTCAGGAGGACAATAGGAAAAAGGTCATATTCGGCTATGAGAGCTTTGACAACATCTTGAACAGTGGTGTCCTCTCCTACGAGCTAAGTGAGTGCCAGAGTGAGGGTGGTCAGTGGTCAGTCAGCACTCAGCTCAGCCACAAAGTCAGAAACAAGGGCCATCATGATGAAAGTTTACTACTTATGGATCAAAGATACGTTCTCAATACCCATCATCCTCAACCTCAATTTTAATTCATAGTTGATAAAATTGTTTCTTCACTTCTACTTACATTCGTAATTACTAAAATTGTCTCTCAATGCAATGGTGAAAACAACTATAGTACCTGCTAATGACAACCATACTATTGCCATCTGTCATTTTACGCAAACTTATTGTATGACATTCATCCTCACCATCAAGTACTCTTACACTGTTCACATATCCTTTTGCCACCTGTTCTCCCATCCACAGGTTGCAATAGGTTCTTTAGTCAACATCTCATAAGTTTGGAATATTTTCTTCACCCACAGTCCCTTATTTGTAGTCACATCTTATTTTTTTTCCTTTATAATTTCTCTTGTCCAGTCACCTCCTTTATCATGACATTTTCACAAGTAAAAGACTTTCTTCAGGATTCATGTGTCTTCTCCTGTACCATAACTCCAGTGTCCTCACGAGTCAGTGCCTCTTAATATCATCAATCATCCATCTGTTTATTCACCATCAGCTCACCACCACCTTGCATTCTGAACCAGCTTTTAACATCCCCTTCTTCCCCCTTCCTTCACTGCCCTCTCTGATGGCTTTTCCTCACTCCTCCACCTCAGCTGAAGGAGTGATTGCTGATAGACCCTATTTGGAGGAAGAGATAATCCACTACGATGTACCAAAGGGCGAATGTCTCACTATCCTCACTGACACTGCTTGTGAAGACACAAGTGATGGTAACTGTGATCCAAGTGAGTAACATCTCTTGTATTTGTGTAGTATGTAGCTAACCTAGCCTAATCTAACCTTACCTTAGCTAATCTCTGACCTAACCTAACCTAACCTAATCATATATTAATAGCCACCAGCATCTATGGAAAATTAACTCCCCCTTCAGCTTATCCATTACACATCTGAAGATATGTATGGGTACTCAATAGTCCTCCCTCTGCTGTATGCTTACCCCAGTACTGTAAGATCAGACTCCATGGTCCTGATGTTAGTATGGAACTTGTGGCTAGTAACGTTCTGCTTAACATGCTGAGCAGTCTCTTTCTGAATAAGAGTCTGCTTCCCATCCTAATAAGTCTTTCATAAACCAGAGAGATATCTACTGTAATACTTTTAGAAGAATTAGTCAACTGGAGAGACTTCACAGAACTTATGAGACTCAGTGGGAGAAAGATAACTAATTCATTACCAAGACTTGATAATTTAATCCCCTTGTTTTATTATTGTGATTTTAAGCTGTTGATGGGTAATGCTGCGTAATGTGAAGCTGTGGTAAGTGAATACCATAGCAGACCTCACCTCCTCCTCATATATGAACCACTTTCTTTCACTCACCTTCTTATCTAAGCCACTTTCCTCCACCTACCTTTAATTACAGTCCACTTCACTCCACCCTCCTCCAGTCATAAATCCAGTTTGCTATACCATCTGGTCATTACTTACTCTGTTGAAGGGGACTCTCACCTTCCTCCTCCTCCTCTTCCACAGAGAAGATTTGCAAGGCACAAACTATCCTTGGGCTAAAAGAGGAGATGAGATTCCTTTTCGGGTTGGGAGAGAAAATTGGGGATGGCGGATACTACGGAACGGTGGGTGTCATGAACTGGGCCTACCAGTACCAGTACCAGTACCTTGGCACACAGGACTGCCGGGGTATGATATGCGACAAGTTTGACATCTGCATCTCCAATCCCAACGGTGGCACAGTCCACATCGTCTACTACTGGTCAAGTGAGTCATGTGTTCCAGCCTCCTCCCCACCCCTTTACTTGTTCCAGCCTCTTCATCCACCACTTTACTTGTTCCAGCCTCTTCATCCACCCCTTTACTTGTTCCAGCCTCTTCATCCACCCTTTTACCTGTTCCAGCCTCTTCATCCACCCCTTTACTTGTTACAGCCTTTTCATCCACCCCTTTATTTGTTCCAGCCTCTTCATCCACCCCTTTACTTGTTCCAGCCTCTTCATCCACCCCTTTATTTGTTCCAGCCTCTTCATCCCCACCCTTTACTTGTTCCAGCCTAACCTCTTCTTCACCCACCCTTTGCTTGTTCCAGCCTCTCATCACCCTTTACTTGTTCAGTCTCTCTCCCCCACCCCTTTACCTGTTCCAGTCTCCTCCCCCACCCTTTACCTGTTCAGCCTCCTCCCCCACCCCTTTACCTGTTCTGTCTCCTCCCCACCCCCTTTACCTGTTCCAAGTCTCTCCTCCCCTTTACTTGTTCTAGCCTCTTCATCCACCCTTTACTTGTTCAGTCTCCTCCCCCCACCCCTTTGCTTGTTCAGTCTCCTCCCCACCCCCTTTACCTTTCCTCCCCACCCCGCCACCTGTTCCAGCCTCCTCCCCCACCCCTTTACCTGTTCATCTCCTCCCCCACCCCTTTACCTGTTCCAGTCTCCTCCCTCACCCCTTTACTTGTTCCAGCCTCTTCATCCACCCCTTTACTTGTTCCAGTCTCCTCCCCCACCCCTTTACCTGTTTCAGCCTCCTCCCCCACGCCTTTAACCAGTTCCAGCCTTCTCCCCCTCCGATTTACCTGCCCATATCCATTTTCATCTTCTATCAAACATTTTTTTTTATTCACGACATCTCTCTCCACCTGCTATGAAATCTTTCTGCCTCACTGCACCACCTTTTCTTCTACCCATAACCCTCTGTAATGCCTCCCCCTTTACACTTGTACTGTGGATTGTGTGAAGTACAAATTTATTGTAGAAACTATATTGTAATGGACCCTACTCGTAATAGGCTCCATTCCTTGCATAATAACAAGCAGAAGTTAGGTTGCAGTTTGTGTGGACAAGGGCCTATTTGATTTGCAAACACTTGTATTATTGTATCCTTGTCCCCCCATCATGCCTTGCCTAATTTTCTTTACTGTAATTTGTCAATATGTAATCAATGAGGCAGATATAATTATAACAAGTACTGGATATTCACTTGCATTCCTAGCCAATATAGGAATATTGAAAGAAAGAGCTGCTAAAATTAAAATACTGTGTTCAATTTTTTTATACTCTGTAATAATAGGAGGAAACAAATACAGTATTAGAAAACTTACCTATCTTTATGTTATTTTAAAAATAACATAGGTAATAGAAAGCCTAAGGGTAGTGATACATGTATATGTGTGAATGTATAGTATGTTTTCGGTTGCAGGTACTGACTGGCACGTGGCTAGTGATGAACCACCAGTGCCAGTGGCTGTGGAGATCACCTCTGACGCCAAGATGAGTCCATTGGTCACCCGCCGGGTAATGCAGCGCTTCGACTTCTACGAGTTTATGAGAGAATTTAGACCAAGTCCTGAGGAGCTGGCAGTGAGTAAAATTTAAATTTACACATTAAAGTGAGTAGAGGTAACACCGGATCTCTCCCAGTGGGCGAAAGAAACTCAGATGTATTTTACTTTTACTTTTATCCTCTTTGCCACTGATTGCTCCAGCAATTATCTTCAGTTGTTCTGCTAGGCTTATTTCTTACCATCAATATATTGTATACATGAAAATTTCACTACATTTGCCAAAATAACTGCTGCATGGGACAGAAAACAATCAAACACCTAGTTTACAAAATTATAATACGAATTTATGCCTCGCCATAACAAAGCAACTGCTGCGAGCCAAAGCTATGTGAAGTGTTGCTCATTTGCCTTTAATGACGACAGAATAGTGAGTTAAGGAGTAGTTTAAGTTAGCAAAATAGAATTTCCTTTGTGGACATGCCCCATACATATACTTGTGGAGCCTTCCAAATATATGCTGCAGACATCTTTCATCTTCCTCACCTCCACCCACAGCCGCCACCAGATGTGTACTGCATGAACCGCAAAACATCAGAAGAACCCCCTGAAGTGCCACTCTACTTCTCCTACAGCTCAGAGGCAGTGGTTGGGTTCGAATTTTCCTTTCCTGTGGGTGACAATGACACAGTGAACATCCAGTTCACCTCCATCATCACCCAGAGTGTTAGTAAACAATACAACAATATTTCTTCCTGTCTCCAGTCCATCCTCTTTTATTTTTATCTCTCCACTTGTGTATTTCCCTTTCTGCTTGGAACCATTATCAATGCAGGCATTTACTATGCAGACATATTTCAGAAGGATGGATCACATAAGTCAGTATCCCCCTGTTGATGGTATACATTGGGTTATGGAGATGTGTAAGAACCGTAATGTTATGGCTGTGCAAGCTATTTTACGATAATGAAGTGGTCCTTTCATTTCAACACTACAGTATTTGTTTATTTTCTATTTTTCTTATATTTCCTAAGCATGCCTAACACAACATATACTAGGATTCAGCATTGAAAAGCTCTTAATTATTTGGGAGCTGGCAAAGAGGCTAGATTTGTGAATTCTAGGTATTTTCTGGCATTCAAATTATATTGGAAGAATGAAGGGTGGTACACATATAACCTGACTGGAAGTGTTAGAGACTAATAAATTAGGTATACTGTACAGTATAAACTTGAATATGAAAACCTTACAATGAGCAATGTAAATCATTAAGATCACAATATTTTATGATATAGATTGTACTTAGATTCCTTAATCTGATTCTCATAACCAGATGAGATGCTTTTCTGCAATACATTTTGAAAGGTAAAATTTGACAGTCATTCCTGGCTTAGTCTATTATGTCTTGGTTGGAGTGTAATAATACTTTACATGATCCTTTTATGGTCACACAGTGCTCAGGGCACAGAGGACGGCCTTATTGCAACAGTGACCATTGAAGTTTTGTCTTTATGTAGGGTCTGGTATAAATGTTGTTGTGCTCTAAATTATAATTTGTACTTGAATAACCCGACCTTCTAAGAAAGGTTTTCTCTTCTGTGTCTTTTATATAAAATTTAGTCACCAATGATCTTAGAATGGAAATTTTGGAATGTGTGCTTTTCATCCATGTATCCGTTTGTCCATCCACGCATCCAGTAATTGTAAATATAATGACTCAAACAAACAGCATAGATCATAACCAGACTTGATGGATAGAAATACTGTACACTGTATCTTAACAAGTAGAGTAAGAACAAAGAAGGAAGCTGAGTATATGTCTGGATGCAGATAATTAATTTTGTAAATATGTAGATATTTTTTACTAGCTACTGTACTGTATATCTAGGTTAAGACATGGTTTCTATGATCTTTGGAAGATGAGTTCACAAACACATACACATGTCAATAGGGTAGCACAAAATACTGTAGTTGATATACGGTACATCTAAGTACAGTACGTAGTGGATTTCACTGTACTGTACGTGCATTATTATTTGAGAATATAGTATGTACTGAATTAAGAGTTGTTTTCACTGCAGGAGAGCTATGATTGGGAGGCCAAGATTGCACTGGCTGACTACATTCCTTGGTACATCTTCGGGGATGAGTATCGCTATGATCACCTCACAAGGCGTATCCAAGACTTCAATCAAGGTTAGTCTGTTATACATCCTTGGCAATTGCATCATCAGTCATCTGCCAGGGCTGTGATGGGGGCCCTTGTTTTGGCCTGAGCACATATAAGCATTCATAGGTTGATAAATATATTCTTAAGACCAAACCCAATGGCTCCAGGAATTCAAGGAGACCATTACCTGTGAACCATTTGGCTGTTGACAAAGATAAGAAGAAATCTCAGAAATTCAAGTATGCCAGGTTCAGGAATCAAGCAAAGTCAGAGTGTAAAAGGGTTGAAAATGAGTTTCAGTGGTAGATTGCAGGCCAGATCAAGTCAAACTCAAAGGATTTCTACCTAAAGTCAAAATTAAAGACAATTGTGGGTGTATCAGATCTGAGAATTGAAGGTGGTAGTTATGCAGACTCAGGTTAAGGCAAAAGCAGGGGCATTAATAAATTCTTTTCCTCGGTGTTCACGAGAGGATACCAACAATCTTCCTGCATTTGAGGAATGACAGTTCATCACAGCGCTGATGCACATTATGTTCTCAAAAGAGTGTGTTAAGAACAAACAGTATAAAGTTCAGATATTGTTAAGACAAACTTTTTTGGAGTAGGAGTTGAAAAATTCTTGAAACAATCTGCCAGTGTTGTGACAGCACCGAGTGTGAGATTATTCAAGACCAGACTTGACCAACACTGGTGCAGGTACATTCCCCGTACTTGCCAACAGTGCATAAAAGAGATGTGACCGAGTGACTAACAGACTAATCAGGGTCATGTACAATAGTCAGCTCATGCCTTCATTGCCAAGGAAAAGTCATTTGATAATTTTGTCATGTAAAATTAGTTACATGGTATAATATAAATGATGACCATCATTACCCTTGTTTGCTTCTTTGCTTAGATTCATCTAAACTTGGTTCTAGCAGGGTTAGCTGATTCTTCCTCTTCCCTCTCATTAAGACTCCTTCATATACTGTAATCTTCAACTCCATCCCTCACCATCTTTCTATTGGCAAACTTGTTACCCTGTATATTCTTCTTACCCCTCTGTCCTCATTGCTTTATGCCTTTTAGATCTAGAGTACTACATTGAGACAAACCTGGACAAGCAATGCCGTTACGGCCCTATGGACAACAACACCGACGGGGGGAACATAATAATAAACAAGGATGGATCCATTGGCTTAATGCCTCCCTGGTTGTTTAAGGACCTTGATGAACCAATGCAGTATAATGGAATTGTAAGTCACTTTATTTCCGTTCTTAGTCAAGCATTAGTCAATCTTTCCTGCCTTTTGAATCATGGTTTCCCTTGTCTCCTCTGTTCTGTTAATCATGATGTTTCACTCATGTTCCAGTTTCAGAGGATCCATATCTGCACCTTCTTCTTTACAATATGGAGTTCCTCATGGATCAATCCTGAGTCCAGTATAGTATTGTTTATCAGTTTACTTGTGACCTTAACTCTTTATTGGAGGCACATAATGTTGAGTATCACTTGTTTGCAAGCCAGTTATGAACATAGAATTATGAACACCAGTATAATACTGTACATAGGACAAATTGGCATTTCTCTTGTCTAATACAAGTATTTGGATCACAAAGAGAAAATCATCATCATTTGAAAATTGCATTCATCACTTTTGGAATCATTAAGTTGTAAAGAGATTATGGATAGAGAAAGTCTCACCGTACTTGTACAGGTATTAATTCCTGTCACTTTCCAGAACCTACAGCCTTTTACCGTTCATTCTTTTCCCAACATAGCACCTCAATTGTACATGCGGTTATCTACTCTTATCTGTCTGAAGCAGTTGGACTTAGTTAAGATTATCAAAAAGTTACTTATGCCATCTCTTTCCCAGTGACAGGATTTTTTAATCTAACTGTTGTTGTTATAGTTGTAAATGTAATGCTTAATAATTTGGTCTGTCTTGTTTAGCTTAAACATTTTTGCAGCATATATTGAGTGCTTGTGAGTATCTCTCTCTCTCTCTCTCTCTCTCATTTAAATGAACTGATGCTTTTGAGAAGTGTCCTGTGGTAAGACAGCATAGGGAACTCCAAACATTTTAATTGTGATATCATTGGGAACTAGGTATATCAACTTACAATAGTCTCAAATGCATTCTGATTGCAATATGAATATTTAGAAAGAACTGTTATAGGAAAATAGTTGTGGTGTAGATGTCTCATTGCTTGTATTGTGGTAATAGTTTCAGTAATAATGAATATATAAAGTTTTGTATACTGTACAGTATTAATATCAGTCTCTTTACAGCATGTGACCCGAGGTTTATTATCTGATGTGTGGGTTGGAATGAAAAAAATTCCTAAAACCATCTTTGAAGAAGACTTTGTCTGGTATTACGCCTCTGTAAGTAACAAATTCCAATGTGTCTTGCTCACTGAAGAATGTAGAGTAATAATTCTGTTAAGATATGTAATTTTTATGTACAATAGGTATTGATTTAAGCAAAGCTTTGGGACTCAATCCATTTAAGAATAAGCCCTCTAATACAGTACTTGTACTGTACAGTATATTAATAGTATTAGTAGTAATGTATAATCTTACCGTCATAAATATTCAGACCAGAGGGGTAGATATACCAATCTACTTGTGTATGACATAGGACACCAGATCAATAGGATTTTATGCTCTGGGTTGACTAGTAAATGTTCTATGATGCACTAGGTATAAATACATTGCATGAAGCTTAGGTGCATTGTAAGAGCACACTGTTAATGCACTCAAAATAAAGACTAAATGTGTAAATACTAAATTTCCAACACACCTACAAGTTAGGTGTTGTAGTACTCACAGTTACCTACAGTAAATATGGGAATTATATAATTTAATTTAATTGTTAGACAACTTGTGGTGCAGAGGTCAGCTGCCTTTCCTCTCAAGCAAGTGGCCCTAAGTTTGGCCCCTGGTTAGATTGAAACAAGGGGCAAATTTCTTCTTGTCATTTACCTCTATCAGATCAACAGTAATTGGCAACCTGGATTTGAATCAATTGGCAGTTTGTGCTCTTGGGTAATGGCAAGCCAGTGCAGTTGGCAAGTTGTTCATTTATTCTGACTTATTCCTTAATGCTGGGTTATGCAGGATATTAACTCAGTGTTGGGTTCTTAGGTTGGCTACAGCTTCAATACCTTAAACAAATTCATGCCTAGGTGGCCTTAGTGCAGAGTTGTAAAGTAACTAAATAAATTTACTTGAGTAATGTACTGGAATGCCAGAAAAATACCTTCGTTTGATAGAAGAAATTCATAAGGACAGCAGATGTCGTGTGAACGTTGATGGGCAACTTTCCCCAGAATTCAATGTCGAGAGTGGAGTGTTGCAGGGTAATGTTCTGTCTCCATTGCTGTTTGCTGTACTTGTTGATTTCATATTGAAAGAGACAGTGGGTGATAAAAGAGAAGGGATCGAATGTTTCGACAATAAATACCTCGCAGACTTGGATTATGCAGAGGATGTAGTACTGATGAGCAGATCCAGTCAGAATTTGCTAACCATGGTTAGCAGACTGGAGGAAAAGGAAAAAGGAGCTGGATTAATAATTAATGTTAGAAAAACAGAGGTTAAGAAAACAAACCAAGAAATTGAAGGGAACATTCAGGTGGAGGACCAAATTATCGAAGAAGTTCCTGTTTTCAAGTATTTGGGAACACTCATCAGAAACGACGGATCACTTGAAGATGAGTTTCAGGACAGATTAAGAAGAGGTCATCAAGTTATGGGTACACTGGGCAAAATGTGGAAGTCACATAGACTAACAGTCCAAACCAAACTGAGATTATATACTCCACTGGTAAGACCCGTTTTGGTATAAGGAAGTGAATCTTGGTATGATAATGATACTTTATCCACAAGATTCCAAACTTTTGAGAATAAGGCATTGAGAAGAATCTTGAGCATAAGATGTAAGATGGCATGATCGTATTAGAAACGAGACAAAAAGAGAAGTTACAAATGTTCTCGATATCGATGAATGGCTGATGAAGAATAGATGGAGGTGGCTGGGGCACGTTCTGCGTGTGCGTCCGGATAGAGTATTGAGACAGGCGGTCGAGTGGAGAGTGGACGGAACAAAAAGAAAAGGAAGACCAAGGCCTACTTGGATCCGAACTATAAGAAGGAAGACGGAGGACGAGTTCAATCCAACCATGGAAAGGGCTCAAGATTGAAATGGCTGGCGCGAGTATGTGGAGGCCCTTTGCGTCGCACGGCGTTGGAGGCGGTAACGGTAACTGTAACTTTCTTAGTCTTTGCTTGGTTTAAAGCATGAAAGGGTCAAGTACAAGAGACAGAAAGATTTAAAGGGACCTGCTGGTATTGTGAGAAAATTGGGCACAAGCAGGAGGACTGTTGCAAGTCTGGGTGGTGGCAGGCTATCGTGGTAAGTACAATAAGTGTTATAGTAAGAATGACATGGTTTTCCCAGACTGATCCTTGGTATAGGATATAACCCAAGCAAGATATAATTGAGAGAAAGTAAGGACATAAAATTCAGAAAATACAATATATATGACATGAGAAATAAAGTATAGAAAAGAAGAATAAATAGAATAAATACGTGTATGAAGTAGTAAAATAAAAGACCCTTACAAATGGTCAAGACCAGACTTGACCAACACTGGGCCCGGTTCAGGTACGTTCAGGAGCCGGTGCATGCCCAGTACTTGCCAACAGTGTGTAACAAGAGACGTGACCGACCGCCCAAGCGGCTAACGAGCTGATCATTTGGTGAAGAGGATAAAAGAAAAAGAAAAGTACAGTAACAGAGACGTGACAGATCGCCCAAGCGGCTAGCAAGCCGATCAGTGGTGAAGAAGATAAAAGTAAAGTAAAAGTAACATTTTGGGGTCTTTACCTTTTAAAAAGTACTAAATTTTTTTAATATTCTTACTTTTACTTAAGAATGGTTTTCTAATACTTTTAATCCAATACAATTGAAAAAACAAAAATGTTATTAGCTACATGCCCCAAACAAAGAGTTTTAATGTCTGTGACAAACTAATAATATATTTTTAAATTAATTAATTAATTATTAACCCGATTAAAAAAGTTGTTTGGACAGAGGATATGGTATGGGTGGAGCCGTGAAGGGATCGGTGTGGGTGTGAGGAGACACCTAGTGGTCACATACCTACTGTAGAGATCTCATGAGGCGAGGTGATGTCAGGTTAGATCAGGTGGCAGTGGCAATGGCACCTTGACCACCCACCTCACCTAGCTTACCCTCTTATCCTCCCCTTCCCCATCAAATCCCCTCTTTTCTCCCCCACCTTTCCTTCAGAGACTTGGTCTACCCATCAGATGTCAATTGTTCTTAGCATATACCGGTACCTAAAATGAATTTCAAAGAGGCTGTGATTCTAAAATGCTTTACATAATTCCATCTTACATATAAAGCCTGTATTTATACATATGTGTGTGACTGAATGTATTTAAAATTCTGCTTAAATAGCTAAGTACCCCCCCCCCCTGCAGCACACCTCCAGATGTTACATGGTACGAAAAACGCAGCCACTCATCAATTAGAATCGAAAAGTTATGTCACCACAGCCACATCTCAATTAGAGGGACAGTTCACGGTGAGTCTTAGTGAGACTCAGTCACTCTGGAGGCAACATTCATCCACAAACTCTTCTACTGAAGAAGCTTGATAGCTACTTGGCATGCCTAGGGAATAGAATGGAGCTACTAAGGTCTTTCCCAACATTATGTGACTTATTTCTGAAGCTTAACACCCCACTACCTGCATCTGCTGCTTGTGAGCATGTTTAGTCATGTTGGGCTTATTATTTATTATTCAATTAATTTATTACACCCCAGGGGATGACAAGGCTAGTCACAAGACCATGAGGTCAGACACTAATTCATTGGTACTTGTGTCTTGCAGGACATGCTATGACTTGTGATATGGAAGCAATATTGATATAGTTTAAGGACAATTGGAGTCAGCACCCAACAAAGCATGGGTAGGGTACAAGAATTATAGTGATTAGTAACTCTCCCTGCAGTAGGAGGTCCTTCATAGTAGTGTTGAAGCGTGCTAGCACTGTGGTAGTTACAGAGTTAACAGGAAGAGAAGTGCAGGTCATCCCCCACCTCAGGTACTTGCCAGATAGGTCTGTATCCTAACCTAATGCAAGCAGAGACAACATTATGTCTGCGGACCATAAGTCCACGTTGACGATACTTGTGTTGATAGGAAGAAAGTGATCATAGTGTTGGATGGATATATTTTCAGCCCGTTCACTATCCTTACGATAGATTTGTAGGAAGGAGAGCGGCTGAATGTATTCTCTTTCGGTAGGTCATGCTGGGCTAATATTTAGGCCGAAAAGATCCTGATTGGAGAGCCATACTTTCGAGAATCAGTTATTGATTAATCTCAATAGAAAGATTTGCAAATAAACATGAGTAATGCTGTGTCTTTTGTTTTTACCTTTAATTAACCATTTTTTAAAAATTTATTTTGGATTTATTTTAATTTTTGAGACAATTAATAATTTTGTTGTTACTTTTTACTTTCATTACTTGAGTACAGTAGTTATTGAATGAGATACTTTTTTACTTCTACTTCAGTACATTGATCTTTGGATACTTTTACTTCTACCGGAGTAATATTTTGCCAGTAGCCTATAATAATACCGTACTTTTACTTTAGTAACAAAGTCCTTTACGTTTTACAACTCTACCTTAGGGCCACTTAGTTGTAGTTAGGTCGCTGGGTTAACTAGGGGAGCACTACTCAGTGACTGGTTGCAAGACACAAACCCCCAACTATTAGGTCAGGCAGTGAGAACAGTATTACATCCTATTGGGCTTCACTTGTTGTAATTAATGGTCATTGCCAACAAATCTACCACTGAATCAACTCTGCAGAAAAAAAATTCAAAAGAGGGACTGTATTTGGTCTATATCACCCATGTAGATTGTAACATTATCCCTGTACACAACATCTGCTCAAATATTCAAAAGTTCAACTGCCATGACTAATGTATAGGGACACCTTTAATAAGTCACTTATAGAATGAGAGCCACCTGGCTATGGGCACCACCTGATTAAAGGATTTCAGGTTCAATCCTTCATTTTCTCATTCATTGGTGTTATGAAACTTTTTATGTAATTATGTTGACCAATGACTTACCGTAAGTTGTAAATCTCTGGTGAATATTGAAACATGTTGCTCTGATGAATTATCTTATGACAAACACCAGATTTTCCAGTTGTTTTGTCCTTTTAACTTACTGTTATCTACACTATCTCTTATACAAGCTTCTTGTTGCTTCAAGTGAGACTGAATTTCTTGCAGCCCTTCGTGTCGGATGATGAATCAGTTGAAAATCTGTCACGTGAACTGAAGTGGCACCTGAGGAAGAATCGTAGGAGGGACATGAGAGAGAGCATAAAGGAAGAGTTAAAGTCGAGTAAGAAGAGTAATAGTTTGGGGAACGGAAATGATGCACCATCACTACAATCACTGGACAAGGTTCCCATAAGGATGGAGAGATACTTAAATATTGTATGTTCAACCTTATTCTCTCATTTTGTTTCAGATTTTTCTTTTTAGATGTCACTTGACTCAATTAATTACATGAAAAAGTTAATTAAAAGGAGTGATTGATTTGTACCATTTTTTATATAATGTAGAACTTTATATTTTGATGTACAGTACTTTCATATTATGCATGTTGTATTTATCAAGTCAAACATAAAATGACCATCATCATCAGAATAAAACATCTACCACAACCCTCCCCCATACCTTTCTTCACTCACCCACTGTATGTCCTTCTCTATTCTCAACCACTACCCTCCTTTATACCCAGATCTATTTAGTATTTTCATGTCCAGCCTCATACTCTCCAAATTGCTGTTCTGAAACCCCTGACATGCCTGGCCTTATATTTTCCATTATTACATACTTCCCCATATTGTCCACATGTTTGGCTCAGTGTGCCCACTGATGGCTGGCCTCACAATCCTACTCATGCAAGGTTACACTCTAAATCACATTCCAAGCCTCACATCATCCATGCTCTGCATAATCCAGGACCATTAATATTAAGAATATGACCTTCCTCTTCCCCACAGATGGCGGGTTTCCCACATCTAATCTACAACATGTTTGACTACCAGTCAGAGCCACCCTTGACCCACACCTTTGATATTTCGCCTTGTTACAATGTTTCTCAGGTGGGTATAAACATTTGAAAGAGTTGGCTTCTTGTTCTAACCAGTTCATCTGTTAAGAATAATTTCCATGTCCAGAATTAGCTTTTGTCGCCAAAGCAATTCCTAAATCTATAAGATTTCTTCTTCCAGAAACAGTCCCCGTATTAAAATGCCTGCATATCATCATACCAAAAACAATAATTTTTTTTTGTACTACCGACTTGCCAAGGTTAATTAATTTCTTAAGAGTTGTTTGTTTAGATATTAGCCTTCATTCCAAGGCCTGATCATGTACCAAAAGTATCTTCTATGACTAGAATGACCTTCATGTTCAATGTTCCCTATACTATATGTGGCTCATGCACAGAAATTGGATAGCTTGGATTTACCCAAATTTCTGACACCTTGCACACCAAGCCCTTCTTGGTCATCTTTGTTAAACTGTACAGTACAATATAATGTCACTAGAAAAGAAAATCATCCCAGTCAGACTTTACAGTATTTAGCTTTGCCCCAAGTGACATGCTTTTCCTCTTTTGTATTCTTTCTTTGGCTATTACTACCCGGTATTATTGTTTTGTAGAAGCGTGACTTCATCGTGGACCTGCCAGGTAACACTTTGGTCAAGGTGACAAACCTGCGGGACAAGTTACTTTACTCTTCCCAGCATGCCATGGCATTAATGGGCATTTTATCACCACTTCGGATCAACAGGATGGTGGTAAGTCACAGTCAGAGGTAGGAAAGGGAAGGAAAATGAAGTAAGATAAAAATATACAAAATATAGCCCTTGAATAATTGACAATTTCCCCCAAAAATGAATGGAGAGGAGGCACCTTCAAAATAAACATTAATTGGATGACAGTTTGAAGACCACACTGGTACATTTGTGTGCTCTACGGTATATAAACAGGCTCTTGAGATACTCTACCTCATTTATATGCAAATTTCACTCAAGCTACAGGTATTACTTAGGACAATCCATTTTTTCAAAAACACTAAGTTTAGGGAAATTTACTTATTTGTGTGAACAGATCATATTTAATAATTAAAAGTGGTAATTTGTTGCATTCATCCTAATGTTTGTTGTAGGGAGTCCTTAACTTCCTCTAACTAGAGCCACTAGTCAGGGATTCATAAGAATAACTCTAAAGGTGTTATCCCACATGGACGATTCCCATCTGGACGATCAATTGTTTAATGCAATTTTTGGCATCTCACTTAGATGATTAGATTAATTTAGTGTAAATTAATTTAGGTTTGGTTAGATTACATAAGTGAGATGATCATTTAGGTGGAGTGTACCCAGTAATCACTCCAATGTGTCAGATGTTGTTCAGAATCACTTGAGGAGAGAGTGACTAAGTAAATTAGTGTTGAATGGGTTGCAATATACAGTAGTTGGTTAGCAGTAAAACTGCCATGTATCATCTTAAATCACTGTTGGAATTATTACTTTCTGGGTTTTGTATTGTAAGTTATTGTAAAGTTATTTTTCAAGAAGTAATTTTCTAATGAACAGCTGGAGGAACGACAAGACTCTATACGGCTCCTGTTTACTGTCCTGGACATAGCCTTGGCAGCTGCCAGTGCTACTGGAGCCTTCAAGGAAAACAACATGAACACTGCTGTCAACCTGATCAGGAATGCCATTAACACTAATGAACTGGTGATCACTGTAGAACTGGTAAAGCCTCCAGAAGGGATAGAAGGAGTAAGTTTCTGACTTATTTTTTGCAAACTTGTCATTGAAATGGTCCTCAGGTTCATTCATTCAGTATAAGTGCTTATTAATTTCCTTAATCATTCACATCTTCATATATATTTTTAATTCTCTAGCATTTAGTAATAAACTTCATCTTGCCTTGTTATTTACACCTTTCTTTGCACTCTCTATACTACATAGTAGTCTTTGCCCAACCCCTTGCTCAGTAAATCTTCATACATTTCTTTAAAATATCCAACTGTAAATCTGAAACACATGTTTCTGAAAAATCATACCTTTAGTGATTTTTGTAAAAATTACCAAAAACTTTATTATGTAAAAAGAGTGAAATGGAAAATGTAGATTTTAGATTAACAAATTTAAGTACTGTACTGTAATCAGTAATTGTACATAAAGCTATAAATTATTTTTGGAACTAAAAAGACAAAAACAATAAACATCTCTCTGAGAATAATGTTCAGATCAAGTACATGTGTCAAATGACAAGAGTTTGACAGATCCCAAGTAAATTATGCTACAGAGAGAAATGGGATAACAAAAAAATACTTTCTGTTGGAGAAAAGCTGATGAAAGGAAGAACAAAAACACCCATTTCATAACGTACAGGTATACAGATTTCACAGTACTGTATTGTGAGTGAGTATGGAAATGATATATTACAGGTACTGTTCATTACAGTATTCACACTCTCATGCTGATATAATTTCATGGGTACTCAATTTTTGCTATGGCAGCCATTATTCGTAACGGTGGTGCCAATCGCTGGGTCCATGCAGGAGGTGCATCGAGGAGAGAATAATGACTACAGCTACACATTAGATAAGGGATACCATTCAGGTGAGTCTAGGATTGTGTGGTGATGAAATAAGTACAATACTCAAAATGTGGATATCACTGACTGCAGTGCATCAGATGATCCTTGTTTGATATTTAAGTTCAGTTTTTAGTGTCAGTGAAGAAAATTTTGTGAACTGATATTTATTTGATTAATTATGACATTATGGGTAAAATATATTGTGCTTAACTACATTTATAATGGCAGGCGACATGGCGGGATTGGCCATAGGCATGCTGATGGTGGGGGCTCTGGTTGGGGTAATCATCAACATGGTGATTCAGCGGGGGAATGCAACTCCAGGCGGCCTTCCTCGGGTCAGCATGGCACGCAAGAACCGTCCCACTTCCGACAATACCATCGCTATTAATGGTAACCTTACTGGCTCTGAAATTTAGATCACAATAATTCAAATGGATCAGATTTATGAGGTGTAAAAGCTTTAAGACTCTACAATATATAATAGTGGAGATTTACAAGTGAGAATCAAACTAATATCCTTAAACATGAGATTGTGGTAAAAAATCTTTGATACAGAGGCTTTAATTTAGTGTTTGGAAATCTGAGTGTGAATTCCATTATTTTTAGAATATGAGGTCACTCTGGGATATAGGAATTGAAAGCTTAAATTTTAGATGAATGAGTAAAATTTGTCTTGTATTAAAGAAACAACTGTGATCACTCTGAATGTTAAGATCTATGAGTATAACCAATGAAATACTCTACTGTACTTTACATTCCTCAACATGACCATTTCATTGTTTTTGTACTTATAATAACCTCCATTTTTCTGGTGTTCAGAATGTATGTTAATTTTTATACAGGTAGTATAATAAGCATATATTATGAATACTGTATATAGGTACAAAATTAAGTCACCCTCTTGACTTAAGCCAAAGATGCAACAACAGAACAGCTATTATAAATTATCAGGGACATCTTTTCAGGCGTGAAAGATGCAAGTCTTGTGACTTTTATGATAGCATTTTAAGTGAATAAAAGATGTAGTTTAAAAATGTTTAATCGTTTTTTATTCTCCTCAATTACAGGTCTTTAAACTGAACTTTCACTGTACAGAATGTCAATATTTTTTTCTTAAGTTAAATGTTCTACAATACAGTACTGTACACTATATTCAAATCTGCTCATATAACTCATTTGTTGAGGTTCATTGACACAAGTACTGTACAGTACTATAATAATAACCTGAGGCTTGAAGATGGTAGTTACCCCCCCATAAGGAGTCAGAGCTCAAGGTTGAAGAAGTCACAAGTCCAGAATACAGTGAGGGCAAGCTTTTTTGGAGTGAGAATTGTGAACTCTTGGAACAATCTGCCAGAAAGCCTTGTGATGGCACCGAGTGTGACCTCATTCAAGGCCAGACTTGACCAACACTGGAGCAGGTTTCGATATATTCAGGAGCCAGTGTTTGCCAACACTGCGTAACAGAGACGTGACCGACCACCCAAGCGGCTAACGAGCCGATCAGTGGCGAATTTTATCCGGGCCTTTCTTTTATTTGCTTCTTATTTAATAATTTACCAGATAAGCAAGAGTTACGAGTTAGCCAAAGGTATTTACTGAGATGGGCTTATTCACACATAGTACAGTACAGTACATTGAATTTGTTAAATTCTTTTCAGTTCTTTTTGGCCCAAATAATATTTCATCAGTCTTTTTAAGATTTATGGATATTTGTTGTCTATAAGCCATTGTTTGCATTAGTCCAGCTCAGGTGATAATCTGCTAGCTATATCCTCTTTACCACTGATCAGCTTGTTAGCCGCTTTGGCGGTCGCTCATGCCTCTGTTACGCACCGTTGGCAAGTACTGGACGAGTACTGGCTCCAGAATGTATCTGTACCTGTGTCAGTCTTGGTCAAGTCTGGTCATGAAAGAGTTCACACTTGGTGCATGTATTTGCCCCTGTCTAACAGACAATAATATTTCTATAAATATGGGCTACATACATTGGTTTTACAGCACTGTATATAACTACATCACCCACAGTAATTAAACTATAAGCAAGTGTCTGGTAAATACTGTCTAGCAATACTGATGACAGTGGCACTATGTCACATAACCTCATTGTCTTCCAAATGACCTCTGCACACCACTGTCCAGCAGAGGTCATCAAAAAACTAGCCAGTTACCTCACAGTTGACCCAAGTATATCTCCCTATAAAGAGTACTCGCTTCATACTCTCCTAAGCTAACTGCTCATGGTGTTAGTTTTGGTTATATCATATGTTAATTGTGCATATGCTTTTTTATCATAAAAAGAAAAAACAATTTATGTTTGAAACTTTACCCAGAAACAGATGTTTGTGTACTTTACTTCACTTTTATCCTCTTCACCACTGATCGGCTCGTTAGCCGCTTGGGCGATCGGTCACGTCTCTGATTACTTTTCCTTTTCATTTATCTTCTTCACCAAAAGATCGGCTCGCTAGCCGCCCGGGCGATCGGTCACGTCTCTGTCACGCACTGTTGGCAAATAATGGGTATGCACCGGCTCCTGAATGTACCTGAACCCGCTCCAGTGTTGGTCAAGTCTTGTCTTGAAAGAGCTCACACTCGGTGTCGTCACAACACTCTCTGGTAGATTGTTCCAAGAGTTTACAACCCTCACTCCGAAAAAGTTTGCCCTCACAGTTTTCTGGACTTGCGGCTTCTTCAATCTTGAGCTGTGACCCCTTGTGGGGCGAGCGTCCGCCAGCTCCAAGTAAAGACACTCGACTGAGTAGTGCCCCCTGAGATGCTTATACACCTCAACTAGGTCCCCCCTTGCCCGTCTGTAGTATAAGCTAGGCAAGTTCAGGCGCTCCAATCTCTCAGGGTAGCTGAGGTGCCGAAGTGCAGGCACCAGTCTGGTGGCCCTCCTTTGAACATTTTCAACCAACTGACAGTCCCTAGCATATCTCGGGGACCAGATGGGGTGACAGTACTCCAGATGGGAAGCACTTCACTCTTGAAGATCGTTACGAGGGACAGACCGTCTAGATATCTGAACGACCTTCTTATAAGACCCAATAATTTATTTGCCTGATTTACCTTCTTCTCGCAATGGCCCGAGAACTTCAGCTCATTGTCAACATACACACCTAGGTCCTTCTCACATTCAGTCTCAACTAGTGCAGTTTCTTCATCCCGTTGGGACATATGATACGCCTCCTTACCGTTGGTGCGCCCCAGGTGCATCCTCTTACACTTCGTGATATTGAATTTCAGCAGCCATTTCTTCGACCATTCCTGGAGCCCACAGAGGTCCTTCTGCAGCTCTTCACAGTCTGCTTGGTTCTTAATTTCCCGAAATAACTTGGCGTCATTGGCAAACATTTGTATGGAGGAGTGTACAACGTCAGGCATTTCATTTATGAAACAAACAAACAGCAGCGGGCCCAATACACTGCCCTGTGGTACCCCACTTGTGACAGGTACAGATGACGATTTCGTGCCATTAATCACCACACACTGTTTGCGGTCATGTAGAAAGTCTTCTATCCACGCTAGGACATTTCCCCGAATTCCATACCCTTCCAGTTTGATTTTCAGCCTTTCGTGGGGTACACTGTCGAAAGCCTTGGCAAAATCTAGGTAAATATTGTCGATATTACCACCCCGTTCCAGAATATGGGTCCAAATATACAATACCTTGAGCAATTGTGTTAAGCAGGAGAGCCCCGGCATAAAACCGTGTTGGCAATCCTTTACAAGGTTGTTTCGTATTAGATGTTCCATTGCGGCATTTTTGATAATACTCTCAAGTACTTTACATTTTATGCTGGTCAGGCTCACCGGTCTATAGTTGTTCGTGGAGTGACGATCGCCCTTCTTGAAGATAGGACTCACATAAGCCACTTTCCATTCACTGGGGACCATTTGTTCATCCAGGCATTTACAAAACAGAATCTTCAGGGGCTCTGCAAGCTCGTTGCACAACTCTCTTAGCAATCTAGGATGCACCATGTCAGGGCCGGGACTTTTATGGACCTTTAGCTTTGACAGTTTATTTCTAATACCCTCTTCTGTGAACACAATGTGGGTCAGTGCTGTGTCGAACCGTCTGTCCTCAAACGCAGGAAGGTTAGTTGCATCCTCTCTTGTGAACACCGAGGAAAAGAAACTGTTCAATGCCTCAGCTTTATCCTGGTCATGATCTGTGTAACCACCATCCACCAGCCTCAGGTCTGATACTAATACTCGCGTTTTCAATTTCAACTTTACATAGCAGTAAAACGCCTTTGGGTTTGACTTGACCTCGCTTGCAACCAGCCTCTGGAACTCCTTTTCAGCCCTTTTACACTCTATCCTTGCTTGGTTTCTGGCTCTTGCATACATCCTCCTATCTTGCTCATCGTTTGACTCAACCCACGTCTTGAATTTCTGGGTTTTCTTCTTAATTTTGTCGACCGCCTCATGGTTCATGTGTAGGGATCTCCTCATATTCCTAGAAGCACTGGGTTTGGTCTTGGGTATATATTTATCGATCAAATGGATCACTTTACTAGTTATGATATTCAGCGTAGTGTCTGCGTTCTTGTACCTTAATGAGTCAGGCCAGTGGATACCCCTCATCTCTTCCCTCATCCCATTGTAATTTCCCTTGTAATATTTGCACCTTGGCCTGGCCTTATCCTGAACTAGGTAACAGTTAAATCTGACTGACAACACTATATGGTGACTAGTGCCAACTAGGGCAAGGTGCTCCAGTTTGGCCACCATACCCTCGTTTGTTATGATGAGGTCAAGTGGCTTGGGTATTTGCTCCCCTCTGTAATCTGTCGGGTCTCTAACATGTTGGAACAGAAAATTATCTCTCAGAGTTTCTACAAAAAGAGTAGCAGGGTTATTCAAGTCATTCGGGGTGGACTCGTTTCTCCAATCGATGTCGCCATAGTTAAAGTCCCCCATGATAAGGAGGTGGCTAGGGTTGAGCATTGCTGCATTGTTTATTAAGGTTCTTCAGTTCCTTTGATTTAGTGGGCCACAGTTTGGAGATCTGTAGATACACCCGACAATAAGTAAGTCCCCTCCCTTTAATTCAATTTTACACCACTTGGACTCTTCAAAAACATCCTCTCCCCGTACCCTCGCCTGGCTGGCTCTAAGGTCTTGCCTAGCATAGATAACCACACCCCTCTTGCAAGTTTCTTGAGAAAGGTTAGTAAATGAGTCATATACAGCAATACTGAACTCACATTCCTCTGGGTCGATTCTCCTGTTCTTGTACAACAGTTCTACAACTCCTACAATATCTGGTTGGTGTACTCTTAGTAGTGTTTCAAACTCCTCTCTCTTATCAAGGAACGTGTCAGTATTAGTGTACATGACATTCAAGCGAGAATTTGTTCTCGGTAACGTCTCTGCTCTTAGCAGTAACCCCGCTTCCCCCTATTCTCAGAAGCTGCAGCATTTGCTAATTACACTGTATTTTGCGGGGTACTGTACCTCGGTGTGTGGCCCCTCTCAACAGGCTCATCTAACAACCTTACACAAGGTACAATCCCCTTTACTAGTGCATTTACAGGGGTTCAACATAAACATTCCATAAATTATTATCTTTGAGATACTTGTTTTAATATTATTTTAATTTGATTCCATAGTATGTTTACTACTACGAGTTTGTTTCTGTTGAATGTAAACAAACACAGCGCTGCCACACTGCACAAAACTTGACGACACCCTGTAAATGCACTAGTGAAGGGGACTGTACATAGAGGTGGCAGCAGTGTAAATCATCTTATTTACATTTATATGTATGTTCACCCTATGCTTTCGCTTTTATTCCTGGTAATATCATGCACATCTTCATAATGTGCAATTTTTTTATTTTCTTCAACAGACCAGTGTCAGTTTTAAGTGTCAGCATGGTGACAAGCACTTTTTGTACATATATTAAATGGCTCCAGACTATTGTGAACTGACCAGTATTGCAGTCTTGTATCTTTATTTATAAATATTAATTATTGTGAACTGACCAGTAGTGGGTCTGTTACCTTTTATTTTAAATATTAATT